CTTGAAACTTTTGGGGATGACAATCATTTGCTAATCACACAAGGATATACACTAACTGAAATCACATTTTTGGAGCAATGGTGGAAGACTGTTCTTCATTTCACATTTTCCAAATGAGCTACTCTGCAAAGTAGTCGTTAGTACCATATACATTAACAGGATTTCTCGACAAGAAGTTATTGAAACTAACTACCAATAAGCAGAAGGGAAGTAGTGTTACATATTCAACTGTGATCATCTGTCTATAGTTGAATTAAAAAACATTACCATGGTCAAATTATTTAGACATCAGAAATTCAGCAAGCTTCCCAGTACCAAAGATGATGTTATCAAGTGTCAGTAGAAACTGCGTAAGCTTCCCAGTATCTAAGATGATGTTATCAAGTGTCAGTAGAAACTGGTTGTCTTTTGGAAAGTGAATAAAATTACTAGAATGTGCCACAAGTTTCTTCTTAATCATCTTAGGCTATTTTTATGTAACATATTAAAAACAAAACATTGATAACTTCAATAATTTGTTGGATCTATTTATTAGAAAACAAGTTTTACTTCAAGTATGAGCGACTTCTTTTAAGTAAACAATACAGTTTGGACATCATGAAGACCAAAGCTCACATAGAAAAGGTGCAAATGGCTGTCACCTTTATGTGTATGATAGCATTTCATCCATTCTAAGGTATTAGGACTTTCCCTATCAAATATTTATTGTGAATCAATCGGTGCTGAGCTCTGGACTGAATGTTGGTAACAGAAGAGTAAATGATATAACGAAGGGAAGACAGTCCAGTGAATTAGCAATAAATTCACAATGTACTAGTGATACTGGAAGTGATATTGGGAGAATACCCAGTAATGAGCTGGAATAGAGGCATCAAATGCGGAAGATACTAGCAAAGACTTCGGGAAGGATGTGAGATGTGACTGTGATCTCAAATGATGAGACCATGTCAGTCAGGTGCAGAACAGCATGCTGGCTGGAGGACCAGCAAGAGGAACAGAGACACAAAAGGGCATAGGACGTGAGGAGGAAATTTCAAATAACACGGTGCATGTGAGGTGCATCGAGCACAAGGTGAGTAGTAGCAAGTGACAGGGTGGAGAGGTTGTGCAAGCAGATCTTGAAGCGTCCTGGGAGCATTACATTATACACTACAGTTCCTCTATTTCTAAGATATGTAATTTTTTTTCCATTCCATTTTTTTCTGAAATCAGAGTGCAAACAAATATTGTTGAAAAAGACTTCCCAGTTGCCAGGCAAAAGAGCAAACTCTTATGAAACGATACAGCCTGTTCATGGGAGAACCCAGCCATGCCGATGGTTTCATCCAGTGGCTCATGCCCCTCCCTTACTGAATATTACATTGACATGGTAGTGCTGAAATTAAGTCACTATGTACGAAAGGTTGCCTTTGGCCCTCGGCAAAGTAATTACCGGCAGAAGAAATTACAGGCTCTCTAGGAATAGCACATAAAATTACAAGGCTGTTTAGAGAAAGTCAGAGGCATGGATGAGGCTGATCTTGATAAGGTTTACTCAAAAGTTGGTGAAAGAACCAGGAGGAGCAGAATCAAGACAGCCAAGGAGCTATAGAGTGTTTCAGAAAGAAAGAGAGGTCAGCACTGTCCAACCAGATGGAGGGGCCTAGCCAGGAGGATCCTCAGGCGACACCAGCAAGCAGGAGGCTGGTGACTGTTGGGAGGAGATAAGCAACCAGAGATAGCCAACGAAGGCACTTGTCTTGACAATCTGAGTGCAAGAGAAGGGACAAAAAAATAAATGGGAAATAAATAGAGGAGAACCTAGAAGAAGCTTAAGTCTTGTTACAGGCTAAGCATGAAGATCCAAGAAAGAAAAAAGGAAGGTAAGTGTGTGAGGAGGAGTCCTGAAGTACCATCCTGAAGGAGACAAGAAGACAGATCCTGGGGACAGGTAAATGGATAGTCTGGAACTGTCTTTGGAATTGGAGAAAAAGTGCAAAGATGGTTGTCAAATGGGGAATCTGAGGGAGACTGCCCGATGTCTTCAGTTCACAGAGGAAGGACATTAAGGAGAGAAAACCGTGTTGCTAGAGCTTGGTGAGAGCTGGGAGACTGGACACAATCTCCTTGACCTCTTTCTGCCACTCACCCCCTACCATAGGTCACCCCAACCAGAGATTATGGAGCAAAGGAGAGTGGGTAATCTAGCGAATGGTCTTCAGGGTACCCAGAGAACAGACAAAGCAAAGGAAGGGAATTGCTTACCCAGCTGATAAACTGATGTGGAAGATTGAGTACAAAAACAGTCATAATCAATTCCTTCTCTTTCCACATGTGTTCCCATGCGATGTGACTCTCCCACTCAATGAGGCAGAGACTACTGCCCTGTCCTTGAATCTGGGCTGGACTGAGACTTGCTTTAACTAACAGAACATGGTACAAGTGAGATTTTGCAACATCTGGGCCTAGGTTTAAGGGACCTTGCAGCTTTTCTTCTGGCCATCTTGAAACACTAACTGTCATGCAAGACGTTGCTTTCAGGAAGAAAGACCATGTGAACGGGAGGCTCAGCCAGGCATGTGATGAGGCCATTGTGGACCACGCAGCACCAATCCAGCAGCCAGATTACAATCCAGGCAAAATCAGCTTTTTTTTTTTTTTTTTGGAGAAATTTTTGCCTTAGAATATGTGTGCTTGCCGGAGACAGAAAGAAAAACAGTGAGAGGGAAAGTGAGAAATCACTCTCCAGAGTGGATGACTACACTACAATCCCTTCTCCTCCTGATATTTTGGATATGCAAACACGCACACAAAAGTGATTTTGAAGCCACCAGGTCTGGGACTTGAACTGCAGTCGGTCATGTGGGAGTCAAGCAACATTACCACTACGTTGTCTACTGGTTCCAGATATTTTTTTTAAAAAGAATTATTTTATTTGGGACCAGAAGATGGCATAATGGTTATGTTGCTGGACTCCCACATGGCCAACCACAGTTCAAGTTCTGGATCTGGTGGCTTCAAACTCTAACTAACAGAACATGGTAAAGTGAGAGTTTGCAACATCTGGGTCTGGGCCTCAAGGAAACCTTGCATGCATGCAGGTGAGTGTGTGTGCATGCCCAAAATTCTGAGAGGAGAATGGATGAAAAGGGACTGTGGCATAGCCATCTCCCCCTAGGGGATGATTTCTCGCTTTCTTTCTCTTTATCTCTCACTGTCTCTCTGGCTAGCATACACATCCTATAGAAAAATTTTATTTTTTAAAAAAGAATTATTTGATGTAATTTTATTTACTATTACTTTTTAATTTGACCAGAAAGAGAAAGAGGGAAAGTGTGAAAGCAAGTCACCAGGTCCAGGACTTGAACCATCATTGACCATGTGGGAGCCTTAACCACCATGTCAGCTGCTGGTCCCAATCAGCTATTGTTTCAAGCCATTAAAATTTGGAGAGACTTTTTATGCATCAATAGACAGCTGATGGAGCTGGATACCTTTGGCCTTAAAAGAGAATAACTGTGAACATTCCAGCTTCTCCTCCCACCCCTAGGATGTTGCAGGTATATAGTAATCTTGCTATATATATTGGCTGTCCGTAGTAAGCATTTAATTGGCACTTGAAGCATGGTGAACATTTAAAAATGAACAATACATTCTGTATACCAATTGCTGCTAGGGACTTGAGCAGGGAAAGA